GCAAATTTCGCAATACTCTCTAAGTCAGTTCTTACTAATAATCGCAATACATGTCGTATAAGATCGTGTTTGAAGTGATAAGCGTTATTCTAATTTAGAAATGACAGATATGCATCTGATGTATGGGCTCGCTATGTGTAATACAAATAAAGCAAGACGTTTATACTCGGAATATTTTCCCAATCGGCGTATACCAAACAAGAAAACATTGCAAAGAATACACGAACGCATTTTAGCCGAGTGGCTAGGCAATTTTTAAATCAACACTTTGCAAATAAATGGATTGGTCCTGGAGGTCCTATTGCATGGCCTGCTCGTTCTCCAGATTTGAATCCATTAGATTTTCATTTGTGGGGACATTTAAAATCTATTGTATACGCAACATCGATTGAACATGTTGAAATACTAGAAAAAGATTAGAGCAAGGCTTTCGACAAATTCGAAAAACACCAGGAATGATAGAGAGAGTAACCAGATGAATGACAAGACGCGTGCAGGCTTGTCTTCAAATGAAAGGTGGTCATTTCGGGCATTTTTTGTAAAAATAATTAAAACAGAAAATTCATTAGTATTCACAAGTTACGAAACAGCCTGTATAACGATTTAGTATATTATAATTAATGAATGTATAAAATTAAATTGGAATTGGATAATTGTCCTCAATATTTCCAAAATTATACATTATAAGATAAATATTATAATAATGTATAATATATAATATTTAATTAATATTAACGTATAATAATATTGTGTATCATAAATAATAATTAATTTAATTTAATAGTTAAATATATATTTAAGATTTATTGGCTTTGCGGTATTTTTTATTCGGTTCAATACATTTCTATAGAGAATAACAAACTGAACTATTTAAAAAAACAAATTTGATTTTCAAATGTCTTCTATGCGTCCACGCTAAAAAATAATAATTACATCAATTAATGCCCTTCTCGAAATTCCATTTAATGTTTTATTTAAAACATTTTTGGATATAATTAATTGCTTAAAAAATATATCTTAGCAAAAATATATCTTATCAGCTTAGTTTTGCTCTTTACTCTTTATTTCAGTTTAGGTGACTCAGTCGGCTATATAGGTACACATACTCTACTGAACAAAATGATATATGCTATTTCTAATTTCTCGTAGACAAGTTGAATATGACAACACAGAGAGAAACACTTAAATACATATATCTTTTACAAAAAGAAAATTTATATGAAAATTAATAGAGGGTATAACCACCTTTGTTTCTTATCATCTTAACTATTCGATTCTATAATGATTTATAGAGGCTTCTGATTTTATCCTGAGGTAAATTTTCCTATTTTTCCTTAATTGATCAGTCATTCAATTAATTAATTGCTCAATACCTTTCATTTTTGTAGACAACAAGTTCTTCCAAACAGTTTTTAATTATGTTGAAGTCAGTTGACGATTAGGCATGCCATGATAAAACTAATATTTTTTCGTTTGAAAAAATATACATATGTCTCTGTGCAGGATTATCATGCTAGAATATATTTTCAGTAATGCATTGTGCATGTTTATTAATTTCTTCTGTAATTAAATTTAGATTTCCTCTTCAATTTTGCTTTGCCTTCTGTTTGATCCCACGCTAAATCATTACAATTCTAATTTGCTGCCATTTTCTTATAATTTTCTCTTTTCATGAGATATAGATAATAGTAAGTAAAATCATCAGGATCATCCAGATAAACTTCTTTTCTCTTCAGCAAATGAAATTCGTTTATATTTATTTTTTCGTTTATATTTATTACATTAAATTTTTATTTATAATTATTATTTCTTATGTCGCGTTGTTAATGACGGACTTTTCATGGTTTCCAATCATTCGATAAATTTACATTTCTGGGAAACATGACGGACACTTGTAACATTTCCTGCAAATTTTAATTTCATGAGCAATTTCGCATGCGACCAACGTTCAGTTTGAGGTGACTCGTATAATGGTCTATCTTTCTTATTAATATCTATCTTAGCATTGGACCTTCCGTAACCTTTTTTTTTTTTATAATTTGCATATTCTTGTAACAAATTGATAATCCTTGAAATTCTAATAATAACTGTTATCTTTTGCTGTTTTTAATCATTAATCGTTAAAATGTTTGTTTCATTTAATTCATCTCTATTGCCCATATCGATATTAAATTACATAAAATGCTATACTTGATCATAATTAACAGATAAATCGCAAATCACTAAATAATGTTCACAAAAAACTCAAGTAATTTATCATTTCAGCTTTGATATTTCTTCTGTATTTTTTCTGCATTCCGTAAAAGCAAGGACAACATATTATTAATGATATTTAGGTATCATTGCTTGTATTACATTCAGAAGATTCAAAATTATCTTCGAGAAATTGAAGATAGCACACATATGTTATTGCTTTATCGCGAACAGAATAACACAACTTAGAAAACGCGGGTTTCGAATTATCACTGCAAGAATATTGCAAAAACACAGTTTGTCTAATTATGAAAATTTTATTCGTTTATCTTTATACTTTGATCAATAAAGAATAATTCTTGATTTATGGACGTGCTGTACCTTGACTTTTGTCCTGACTACTAATAAAAAGAAGTATGTGCTTGTTGATAAAGTAAAAAAATGTATTTACTTTGAATCATACTACTACGAATTTATATTCAAAAATAACTGTGTCCTGCAAGATATACTTTTGTCAAATTTTAATGTCGCTTTTTTCAAAGTGAGATATGATTAATATCACAAGAGTATGTTCAAATCTTTTTTATCAATTTAAAAATACAATGATATTTTTTTCATGAACGAATGTTTCTGAATATTTCTTTTATTTTATCATTAATTTAGGTACGACTGGCGTGAATTAAATTATTACTTCGATTATATTATTTGAATGCAATTTGGAAAATATCTTTTTACAATTTTTTAATTTTATAATTATTCAAGGAATTTATTAGAATTTATAATTCAGGAAAAATAAAAAGATTTTTTTCTAAGAAGACATAGTATACCAACAAACAAAGATAATCATTTATTTAAAATCCTCGACTTCTTGGAAATACTTTCGCTAATTCGTATAGAATATGTACGATACTTGTCAACTGAATAAATCCTTTCTATCCACAAATCTATATTCCACAGTTTTTTCTATGATATATTTAATTGAACTATCTTTACGTTATACTTCGATATGCTATGTATAAAAAATATAAAACTATCAAATTGTAAAAACTTAAATTATAATTATTAATGTTATAAATAACAAGCAGTATAATTCATAAAATAAATGGAATATAGAACTAAATTTAATCATATTAAAGAAAAAAAATATATCTACATATAAAAATGTTACAATCGTTGTAACAGTCATTATAAATTATACACTAAATTATTACTCCGTACAATTATAAATGATTAACAAGATATATATATACATATATGATAATTAAATACCAATTTATAAATATCAAAAAGTATTAAAGTTAAAATATCATAGAAAATTAATATCTTTGATTTAATTTATCTCTTTTAAAAAATAAATTTGAAAAAAGTTACAGAAATTTCAGAGCCAGTTATCTTCGTAAGTAGAACAGTATATTTTAAAACATGTAATTTCAGTCAATTCATTCACCTGAAGTCGATCAAGGACATGGATTGAGAAAAAGTAACAAAAAAGGAAATACACACTTACAAGTTTTAAATGCTATAGGATTTCATTACACTCGAGGTAACCTACATTCAACATGTAAACGCATTTATGGGAAATAATTACTAAATTTATGCATAGAATTTATGTTAGTCTGAAAGTTTTTGCAACAAATAATAAAATGTAATTGCTTTGTTTTGTACTTGTAATTTGAATTCAGTCTGTTTTATTATGGTTACACTAGTATATTAAGAAATCGTCTTAATTGTGTAGAATATACGAAGTAATTCAATTATATGTATTAGTATTTTTTGTACTTTATAAATATAATAATAGATAAAAGAAATATTTAATTATAAATTATTAATATTATGTATACATTTCACTTCGTATATTATTTAAATTTTAAAATTTTCTCTTCATATATTTTTCAAAAAGAGAATCGCTTTAATTTTTATGGTCATAAACAAAATTTTAAAATATTTATATTAATTAATAAGAAACTATTATTAAACTTAATGATTGCTCATAAACTTTTACGTGAATGTGTATATTAAAATTAATATCGCAGGAAACTGTAGATAAGAAATAATACAAAATTTATTGAATGATATACAGTGTGAATAGAGAATGAAAATGTTTCATGTTTTATTCTACGATATCATACACCATTAGAAAAGGTATAACTGCTTAATAAGTATTTATGTACGATCTATAAAATGGTTCACTATGTATATTTATATGTAAATTTTCTGAAATTTCAATCGCACAAATCGAAACATATTAAAATTTGTTTCTACTATTTATAAAGTATAAGAGATTTATATCATAATTATTTATAAATTATAACTATATTATAATCATTTATAAAGTAATGCTCAAGAATTTTAAAATCATTGATGCATGAGACACATAATATTAGTAGCTGTGTATTTCCAGAATCACCTATCAAAACCGATATTTCATCTCCGTTATGAATTAAATTAATAAAATTGTGATTAAAAATTTGCAAGTCAATTTTATATTTAACCACAAAATAAACTTACTTTTGGACGCTCGATGCGACATGCGATAAATAATCAATAACGACAACTGAAATTAATTAATCTTTTCAGTTTCACTTTTTTTTTTTTTTTATATGAAGTACAGCAGTGTGATTACCGTAATCGCAAAATTGCTAATAGCGGTATATCCGCGTGAAGTGCTATTGGTTTTTTCGTTAGCGAAGGAACGTGTGATCGAGAGGAACGAAGGGAAAGTTCTGGTCGTGCTGGACAGCTCCGCTAACCAACTCGTGAGATTCAACGGCGGGATGCTACGAAACAAGGTGAGCGGGTTTGCGAGCAGTCTCTGCAAGCCGGTCGCAAGTGCATTGTGTGTGTACTTTGCTAGCCCCGGTGTCGCGAGCCAACGCGATTTTCTACCAGTCGTGTCCCACCGCGCTATCTTCGCAGACGAAAAGTCGCTTAAAGCATCGCATTCCTCGCAGACCGAGTTCAGCGACTTTCAATCTTTTACGTTTTGCGTATTACCGTCAATAGATCGGTGCGTATCGTGATTGATCGGTTGGATCGTGAAGCAACGAACACGACTATGGATGCAGGCGAGCCGTACCTTTTTCCTTAGAAGAAATTGAAAAACTCTTCGTGCAAGTAGCTAAAACGGTAAATGGTATCGGCCTGCATCCTGTCGGGACGACGCTCTCAAATACTGATTGTACATGTGGGAAAGCGACATCCTGTGAATGATCGAAAGTTTACGTAGAAATACCGTGACAGCCCATCCAACAGGTAAAATATGTATATCATGATTTCGATTAAGCGTTTGTTTTATTTCATTTCGTTTCGTGAAATATGTGTGTAGTACAAGTAACGTGTAATAGTTATAAGTAATGTAGCATATGATACATTATCTTCGTAAATATCCATAAATGATACATTTAATAATAAAATAAAAGATCGAACAACGATTATTTTCTATACAAAATGGGATGTTACCGTAGGTCCACGAGAATTATTATTATTATAAAATTGTTATATTTGTATATTAGAAAAATCATACGTACAAAGAGTTTAAATTTTAGTAATTAATTGAAACGTGCGTATTTTGAATAATTATCTAATATGTGCTTAATATTATTCAATGAGTCATTAATCTTACTATACCTATATTTAAAATTTACCAGCATTAAAAAAAGCGCTAATGACAGTAATTAACATCATGCGAGATTCTGTATACATTAATATATGATTGACGATAAATCTGAAACGTGCAGCTTATGATTTTGCTCGCAATAGCAAATAAATTTTATTCAGAGTAAAATAGAAATGAGAGTAAAAAATATACATTTTTATCTGTTATATAAATATTCTTATTAATTCAACAGTATGGCGTATGAAATGTAGAAGTATCAAGAATTGAAAGCAGAAAGTATCACGCAACCAAGGACAGTTGAATTTCTTTATGAATAATGTAAAAGTAATCGAAAAATTTGGAAATAAAAGTTCGATCTTCAACAGTGTCAGGGTCCAATTATAGACGCAATTAAAGTTATGTCAGTACTCTCGGATGTAGGATAGACAAAGACTTTCTCCCAACGCTTTCTCTGGTTCGTAATTTACTATCAAAGAAGTACGCTTGTCACAGCGTGTACAGTTATCCGAATCTCGAGAAACATTTACAATCGATAAAACATTCCAACCACTGTCATATGTTACTCACACGTGAATATTATAAAACATTAATCGTTTGATTTTTAAATTCACTAATGTTTATCTGTTTCATTGTATGAATAATAATATGCAGTTTCATTCATAATAAATAAATTCAAATATATCTTACATAACAAATGCATCTTCCCAGTCAAGATGCAGTTTCTTAAGTCGTAATATATGTTTCACAGAAAAATGCCTGCGATAAAACTCTTTGGCAGAAAATGGCTAGCTGCAACTGACGATCTTGTTTACCCAGGTTTCTTTGAAATTTTCGTTCGAGCCATTTGGTAAGTCCTCCACTTTTTGTTTCAAACCTAGAATTATGGAGATTTCATTCCACTGAGTACTCTGCTAGCTAGGTCGTACCAACTAATTAAAAGTTGCGTTAATACGTTTCATTCGCAATTTTTTCTTCATTCACGTTATTCAATTCTATTTTTAACATTGTAGCCACAGAAATGAATTCCAAAGTTTGTCTACTATTTTTTCTCTTCTCACCTGGATTCTATAATTTTATGAAAAAAGAAATTGAAGTATTTAGAAACGTTGTGGTAAAATGGTAATAATTAATTAATCACTTACAATCTTCTTCGTTTTTCATATGCTTTTAACAAATAATATTTTTAGATATTGTTTCATGGAGTCATGTTCATGATCATTTTCCTATTGATTTTCTAATTAATTAAATCTTTTTCATCAAGCTTCATCCGTCCCTTCAGTTTGATACATATTTCTTAGAAAAAGTTGTATTATTTTGCTACATGTACGTTCATTGACGTTTATTTTTTGTATATATTACACGCATATATATTATAATTTGCATTCATTATAAAATCATGATAAACAGTAATAATTTCACTTTTAAGTAAACCATGATATATTCAACGATATTTATTAAAACCATGATAAATTCAACTACATTTATTAATTAAAAATTAATGTAATTGTTATAATTACAGTATATAATTTATAAGTAGGCTGTGGATTTTTATGAACATGTAAGAAATTTTAAAGTGCGAAATAAATAATGCATTAATAATATAAAAAAGTATATAAAACGAATATCGTTCAAAATAGAGTATTTTCTATAGGATATACTATGTGAAGTAATTTTTTATAGATTTTTTAGATAGTTTCTTTAATCAAGTTCTCAGAAATATAGATTTGTATAAAAATTCTCAATCTTTTCATAAACTCAGATTTAAACCTCTTATTGAGATAAATCTTATTAGTTAAGAATTAATATAAAATATATGAATATTTCTTTCTCTCCTTTTTACGTGAATTAAAATTTATACAGCATAGTGTTATTATTATTTCAAAATTATTTAGTGTTATTATTATTTCAATATTAATTTAAATATTATTATTTCATTTTAATTTCTTATTTTATATTTAATTTTATTTATTATTTTAAAGGTACACAAATCTTTAGCAAGGACGACAATCTAGTATGTATAATAGTTCCTTTTATTTGTCTGCTCCACTGAACCATAGAAAACTAATCTCCTCCATACTTATTTAAGTCTGATATCATGTCATTTTGCCTTTATGCGAATTGTGACGAACTGAATCACTCACAGTGATATGCAAACGCACGTGTGTTAGTCTATTAAACAGTAAAGGAATTGATTAGCTTATAAATAGAATGCGGATTTTTATACATTTATGAAAAAAATTTATAAAATATTCAAAGCACCTTTTAATTTTCTACCAAAGGTATATCTGTTTATTTTCAAACATATAAATTTGCATAAAAGTCCAGTTACAAGTCACGACATATATGTACATAAATATGTAGTATTGTAAATAATTATATGTAAACATGTACTTACATTTTTCACAACATTTTAACAATTTATTTATCTATGTCCCTATTGTAATTGAAGACAGAATTGACATAAAGGAATTAAAACTTTTTGCACTGGAAATCTAGCAAAATCAAAGTATCTCTTAAAATAAAGTTTAATGATATAAAAAAATATGAATTCGATATTGATTTTTACATTATTACTTGTTATTACATGTAATAACTAGTTTAGAATATCGTTAATTTGCTCGTATATAGTATTGTTTGAATTATCAGGCTGAAGCAGATTTTATTCTATTTTTCTCAATGTTCTGAATTTGTTGCTTTACCTATCAGAAATATTTCTTCGGGAAAATAAAAATTTTTAATGCTGACTATGGTAATAATTTGACTCCAAATTCATTCAATTATTTTCTTTTTGTGGAAAAAGTTCAATGACTCATTGTCTGTATGTTATTTCGTTGAAAAGTGAATTTATTGTCTTATGTCACGAAGCAAATAATTATATATAGATATTTCTTTAATATCCAACAGCATTCAATTTTTTTCTTTTTTGTGAATACTATTTCACTCTTAAAATTTCTTTTAAAAGCAGCTCAAACCGTGATTGATTCAAGTTTTTAATTTTTACACGACGTGATTTTTTTTGCAATAGTATATCGAATTTTTGTAATAATATTGAATGCATCATATCCATTCGAATTTTTTTGTCATTAAAAATAGTATATTTCTATATGTTTTCTTCTTAAATTAATCTGCAAATTTTAGTCTTCGACATATTGCTTTTATAATGTCGGTTTCCATATTTCGATACTTAAATTTATCTGAATACAGACTACAGCTTACTTTCAACTTACAAAAATGAGATTACATTGTAAATAAAATTGAGCTCCACTAACAATACTTTGAAATTTATTCTATATTTGCAATTTTCCTATAGTTCTTTAAATTTCATAATGCTTATATACGTATATAATTTATTTATTATTTTTCAAATAAATTTATACCGTTTCCAATAAATTACTCAAAGGATTGATATGATATTTATTTATGTTAAAAATGATCAGTGTTTTAAACAAGCAGTGAATAGAGAAAAATTTTCTCAAAGTAATTGGCCATCATGTTATATATTAGTCGAAAAATTATAAGATACATATGTATTTCTAAATTTCGTATATTTAAAAATTTCGTATGTAAAAAAGAAAACTGATAAAATGGCATTTCGTTTTTAAAATTTAAACTCTAATAAATATTGTATTATTATAGGCATAGCTTTTATCTGACGACATACAAAATGCATAAAATAATATACCTTTGGAATAATCACTTCCAAAATAACTTATTTATTAATTATTTATTATTGGCATAAATTGATATAATTTTTATCAATTTCTATAAACTTTATATGGTGCTCTAATTTGAGAAAAATTTATTTTAAATGTAAAGAATTAAACATTTAAAGTTTAAAATGATTCAAAAGTTGGATTCAAATGTGAATATCAACAGACACATTGGATGAAATTGCTAAATACTATTTTTCATTCTTATAATTTCTATCGACAGTTATTTGGCTAGAAATGGGAAAAATGAGAATCTGTCATTTATTTATAATATTAATTCATTTATTTGAAAGAAAAAGATTTAAAATAAAAATAAAATTACATAAAAATAAAGTCGACTGAATATTTCTATTATAAATAGAAAAGTATAATATCCAGAAAATTGTAAAATTATTGAATATAAATCGCTATGTCATATATATAAAAAATCCAGAGGTTTATAAAAAAAAAGAAATAAAAAAACTCGCGTTTCATTCAAACAGACAACTCTGTGTATTGCTTTGAAAGAATGCAAGGCAAATCATCGAAGAAGCAGGAGTACAAATAAATATAAATACACAACCTACGTAATAAGAAAGCAAACATATTAAATACATAAAATTCCAAATGAGGCTTTGCATACGAGACGAGCTTCAATCTTCTAATCTCCAAGCCTGAGAAAATAAATTTTTCCTTGTTTATGTCTTTTGTATTAATATGTCCAGAACACATTGCGTTTGTACTGTGGTTTTCCACACTTGGCCTTGAATGTGTTAATCAAGAAACATAATGCAGCGTGTTTGAAATTTTCTTGTGAACACATTCACTAGGTGAAAACTTAGAGAAATATTATTTGTAGCAAATTGAATTTAGACGACTCTAAAAGATAGAGTTGGTATTTCCATGAATTTAAGAAACAAAGAACTACGTTTAAAGAAATGAATAAAAAAAAAGCTACGTCATGTTACGGACTAGTTGACCTATATATAAATTGAAATGAATTTATTGCTGCATAAATATGCATGGAGTAACATCTATATTCAGATTACTAAATATAAGACTTCTTTCGTAAGCTTTGGATTTCCTGGTACATTATGTGCGACACAATGACTTGTAATAATTTCGCAATTTTATCAATACTATATTTTTCTCCCCGCAACAGAACGATCCGGTTGATTTTACTCTTATCTGACTTTCCCTCGAATCGTTACTTCCTTTTCTCAAATAAATGAAATAAATATCATAAATAAATAGTAGATTCTTACCTTTGTGTTCACTTACAATTGAATAACTATTGACAGAAATTGACAACGATAAATGACACAAATGTGTTATAATTTCGTTCGACCAATGTCAGTTTATACCTATTCATATCTCTGTTTTCAAATTTTATTATTGTACATGTATTGTAACATTGTATATCATACAATGTTAAGATTCTGTATATTCACTTTATGATATATGATATTTATGTAAAATATTTTATAATTTTATTCTCTATAATATACACATGCAAAAGAGATCAATAATCCTCAATTTCAAAGCGACATTATGTGTATGTGCACATTTGAATGTTACCAGTTACATGACGCAATAGGAAAAAGAATATAACGTGCACAAAAACATCGATGATCTTGTAAAATTCGAAGAAACAACTTAGAAAATAAAATATTGTTTTATAAAACATTTTTTACATCATCGTAATTAAAATAGATTAATATTATATAGATGATTTTACCTAAATTATAAATTCATGTATCGACTTAATAAGTTTAAAAAATAATTCGATATTTTTACAACTACTAGCTAATTATCTAATTGTAACTAATTAAGTATGTAAGTATAATTATATACTTAAGTATATAATTAAGTATATAACTAACTAAGTATATAATATAATTTCAGAATAAAATAAAGTAAATATTGCGTTTAGAGGACCCATCTCCAATGATTTTGATCTTCGCACATACTACGAAACACCTCTAAAAGGTTTTAACCGTCGTTCCTTATTTGTTAAAAAGTTATTAAAAACTTCCATAAATATATATAGAACATACAAAATTTGTGTTATATTTAATATCTTAACACTTACCACTTTGTCTTAATTTTTTTCAATCTAGATTTTCCATAATATCAATACTTACACATATTCAGTAACAACTTTTCAAAATTACGAATTCGATATATCTATTAGAATAAAATGTTGTATAAATTTCTCAATTTGTGTCTCTCATATTAATTTAAACATTTTTAATAATTTACAAAAGCATTTATTTCAGCGAATCCCTTTGCAAATTCACATCGTTGTATCGTAGGGTTTAAAAATTTTTTAAATCTTTATTTTAATTGTATATTGTACACAAAAAATATTTTTACTTATGTAATCAAACTTTTGTTTATACATATGTAAAATCTGATACGTGAGAAAATTCTTAATAATAGAATTCAATATGGCGATATTCTATGCAACTGCGACTTGAGCTGTTGACGTCAAAATGAGAAATATAAAATTCCAAGAACAACTGAATTGAAATTTACGTTTTTAGAAAACATTACAGGACGTTTCTCAACAGGCTAGAAGATGCTTTGTTAGAAAATTATATCAAAAATAAGAAATAATAGTGGACTGATTCGATATAGCGTGACAGATTGGCGATATTTCGTATGCATACATTAGTTCAAATTGTCGCTCATTTTCATAAATACGGAACTGACGTCTATCAACAAATTGAATTTATTACATTGTAAATATCAGGATACCATCTCGGATCATCTTCTGTGATGCATAAATTTTTTGCATTCTAAATAAAATATTAAGAAATCTATTTTAGTATATTAATGTGCTAGGGAAATTATACGCTCCAAAGATGATTACTCAATCAAAATTCAGGGATAAATGTCCGTGTCGTCCGCTGCAGTTCGAAAAGACATCATTCTGTGACTAGATGATGTCTGTATCCTTGGGGAATAATATTTTTAGGCAATGTAACGTCGAGTTGCTTGTTGTTTCCCTAACTCTGCATTCATATAAAAGCCCCACGACAGCCAATAATTATATCTGTGGGTTGTTAGAAGCGCAAACTGTTCAATATATTATATTAGTTCTACTCGATAGTAGTTCCTATCATAAATATAAAGTCGGAAACTAAAGAATCCTCTTAGAAAGAATCTGTCAACGCTAATTTCATATAAATTTACTTCATTAAATAAAAATTAATGGAAATAAATAAAACTGATTAATATAAATAAAAATTCAATGGTATTTTATATGTAACTAATTGATTTAAATCTATTTAATTTTAATGAAAGTCATAGTCAGTGAGAAACCCGCGATTGTTTTTTTCTTCTATGTATACATGCAATCTTAATCTTAACCATATGTAATAATAACGAATATAGTACACAAGCTGCGATTCTTCTTTTAAACCCATGAAATTCTCTTTCTGATTAAAGACCAGATAAAAATTCATATACATGGAGAACTAGTATGAAAAATTTTTGTTGCCTTCACGTAAAGAAATCAATAATGTAATAAATTTAATTTTTTATAGATGTCTGTTCTGTATTTATAAAAACAGATGATACTTTCAATTGAAACTAACCAGGCAGCCAATCTATTTTTATGTTACACGAAAGTTGAATCGTTGTTATTTCGTATTTTTAGAATTTTTTTAATAAGGTTTTACCTTTTCTCTTATTCTAAATGTGTTGGCAACGTTGCAAAAAAGTGCAAAAAAATACAGGGATTGTATTTCAACATCGTCAAACCTAACTTCTTATATATTTTATAACATTTTTAATAAGTCATTTTCTCGTATTACTTTTAATACTTTATATTTTGACACGTTAAATACTATGTTAAATTTCAAAAACTGACCGATATACAATAGCATATTTTATTTAGGGAAATTAAAAAAAAACTAAATAATCCTATCGTTGTAACTGATTTTGGAATTGAAGAATTCTTTTGTAAGAATAACAGATTGGGTTATGAAGAAAATAAGTATTTAATTAATAGACAATAAATTGTCATCCTTATGATCGTCGAAATTGCATTAATATTTAAATACTTAATGAAGAACGTACAGAGTCACATGTAGCGTTCTTATCATAAATCATAGTCAAAAATATTATTACAATTTTTTGTCTCAAATTTTATGCGTAATACGGGATTTAAGTTTTACGAGAACAAATTTTGAACAGCGATTAAATTAATGGAAGTTTTATATTTAGAAAACTTCATATATCAACTCATAGTTCATAGGGAAAAAAGATGTGAATATGAATTATGCATTAAACATGAAAGATAATATTGCTCAATCACTGAATATTAAGATTTTCGTCACGCATGGCTGCCTACAGAGAGAATAATTTTGCATAATTATTCTTAATATCAACGTACTTCCTCCTCAAATGAACTTAAATACTTACTTACTTTTTATTTAATTAATTCTGTTCGCAGGTTATGCCTAATTGTAATTGCTTCTGTCAGATATTACGAGTATACATGGAGCTGTCAATTAGGCGGAGAATTGGTTCGCGTGTACCTCCTAGGAGAAGTTGCATTTCTTGCCGTATCTATACTTTTCATGCTCATCGTTATAAAACTCAGCTCAAAAGGTTCTATCATGGAAACGCACGCTCGTAAATATGTTGAACCGCTCTTGACAGTTAAGTAAGTAAGCGTTTGAAAATTATACAGCAATTTACATATCGCTGGCGAATAACACCATTCATTATAAAATACCGGTGAAGTGAAACAACATTTTTCATTCTGGTCATTATCAGATATTTCGCTCGTGTTATTAACTCCTCTCCCAATCGTGATCATACATATATTTCAGCAATCTTATATATAATTATATACTAGGTTTCGAAATCACTAATCAATCACCATGTTGTTTTCATGATATCTGTTTCATGTTTTATTACTGCCTATTAATTACTTATTTTTATTAATTACTATATTATTGTCAGGGGAATGCGAAACTGCAGCACCCCTAATTTTTCTCGATACATAAATATATCTATTAATTTATTTATATTTGCTTGTATTATTTAGTTTCATTATCAACAATCGTACACAATTCCCTTACTTTATATAAAAAGTAATAAAAATCCACTGTATTTATAGTATGTATGTATATTTTGAAAGTTGCAGCATCTCCACGAATGGTCATTATATAAGTTTTTCATATTTCTTTTTCATAATATTACGAACTAATCACGTATTTTTTTATACTATGCGAGTTAATTATCGAAATATGACACGAAGAAATATGTCAGACGAAAGTTAAATGGCTTTAAAGAGCATATTATTTTTTATGTGATGTTTTGAAAATTAAAGTTAAAATATCTTTTGAATTAATGATTTTTGAACATATATTTGCATTAAACTTTTGTTCAGATTTTGAATACATTTGTTTTAAATTTTGAAGCATGTTTTAAAGCAGGTTTCAAATAAATTTTTAATACTCCTATAACAATTTATCGTGATCGAAAAGTATTTATATCTTGGAAAAAAAGAGCCTATGTTCTTTTTTTTTCTTAAGGGCAATAGAATATGGTATCAAAGTTCGATCATCTATTTCCTTGATGTCCTATATATTTCTAATATTATAAGTTATTGTGATTTTACAGAATATTGTTTCTGCTGCCTGAGATATCATGGAACATTTTAGGAAGTTTATGGTTGTTCGGGCCATATGTCAAATGTGATTATGAACATTACACGATGAAGGTAACTCAGGCGTTGGTAGTTTTTGACTGGATTCTCATAGGTCTCGCTATTTTGGGCCTGTTAGTGATCTTCGATCCATTAGGTTCATTAAGTAACAAACATTTGGAAAATTTGGACGAACATGGCAAGATCTTAAAAATTTGGCAACGGAGATTCAAGTTTCTCTGGTGGATGAGAAAAGATGAGAACTGTAGCGTGACTTTTCAATATGTTGCTGGTGAGACATAGGTACGATTAATCTAGAAAAGGTCCTGCCCTAATTGAAATCGGAACGTCAATTTTTCGTCGCATATTCTTTATAAAAAAAGGTTTCAACACCGACAAAAAGAAAATATTGAATTAAATGAGGGGAGATTTAGTTTAAATTTGTCTTCTATTATAATATATGAAAATAAAAAGTCAAAGAGAGAAAGTTATAAGAAGTAGAAAATAAGATAAAAATAAAAATTTGTTGGTTAGTTCGAAGACAATTTTTCATACATTTTTGAATTTATATATATGTATGTTAGAGTAAATATTCTTAAATTTTTGCATAAATTTTTTAACGAACTACTATGAAGCAATTGGTATGTTATATGATATATAAATATAATGAACAGCATAAATAATTATTTCACATAAGATTTTACTGTTGACCTTACTGTTGACATTAAAATATTAAAAAATGCACACTACAGAAACAATTTTGCACAATTAACGCTAAATAGTTTTTCAAACTTTCGAATATTTTTTATTTGTTTATAACAAGAAATATTCATTGATTCAGTGATATGAATAAATAAATACAATCAAAAATGCCGTTCTTTTTTCTTTTGAAGAAGAAGGAGAAATTATCAAATCCTACAGAAGATTTTGTCATTTTCCATATTGGTAAAAAAAGAAAAACATAATCGTCGCAAAATATACAAATGTGTAAAAAATATGTAGCAAAAGAACCTTGTTATCTGGAAAAACATTTTTGCAGAAAAAACGTCAAAGATGATTTATGTACATGCATATATATAAGACTGAATTAATACAACTTTATACCAAATGACTATCTTCTATCTAAAAACTGATTACGATAGAAGATAGTCGTCGAATGCAATGGAGCTTAATTTGATGAACTATTGGGCAATCAAACAATTGTGTCTTTTTTTCACTAATACTAAAAACAATAGAAGGTTTTATAGGATCTAACATTACACTTCAACACGATTATAACAGAAACAAACTATGCAAAATTCGGCTCAAAACATAAAAATTAGATACATCGGTGTGACTGGAGTAAATTTGAAATCTTGACGTTTTTAAGAATCAAAACGAAAGATATAAGAATCCTATGAATATCGATGAATATGGATATCAGCTCTTGAATAATTGATAAGACTTAGAAAAACAATGTTTGTTTAATATTCGTGATTACTTTGTCGCTAAAATCTTGTATAATGCAAAAATACATTGATGCCGTCATGAAACTAAGAGATTCTAAAGTAAATATTAATAACTTATTAAAGCTAAAAGTTTTATTGAAAAAAATTATGTAAAACAGAGTAAATATTTTTCACTACAGGATTCATTTTCGCTACTGAAGAGAACATTTGCAACATTCAAAAATTGCTTATATCAACTTTAATTATCTTAAATATTTTTATTATATTTATTCTTTGTATATTTTAATATTAGTATAATTTAAACAAAATCTGTGATTAGTAGTTACACTTTTTATTGTGTAAGTACACTGTGCAGGCAAAGGAATACGGGTCTGATTGGCTATTACTGATATATGTATATAGAATAATCGTAGAGATAAAAATACGTGACTGATAGGAAAATGACATAATTATATATTCACATTCTGTGCAATATCATGTCGCATAACATGACAATGAGTGAAAAAAATTTATGCGTATATTTGTATATATTATCGTTGCTCCTATTCCTGTTAAATTTCTTCTCATCTATGCATCATATCTATATATTACATATATATAAAAATATACACAATGTTTCATAATGATTGTTATAAGATATATGTCGAAGATGTGTGACAATTATATGATAATTCACCGTACCGTACACGTGTCATATATGTATTTAAAATAGATAACGTTGATTTTCTTTTGTTTACTCAAAAGGCAGGACTTTTTTTCGAGACGTTAATATACGCACGGAAATTAAACACTCTTTTACTTAATAATTGACATTCTAATTATTTATAAAAAGAATTGGCAAGTTTATCTTGATCTTGATTTCTTCAAATATTCTTTCGTTGGAAAATAAGATAAATTGGTTAAACGTCAAATAAGGAATTCAACTGATAAATAATTCACGCTCTCAATTAGCTCAATAAAAAAAAAGAGATATTTAAAAATAAAGGACAAAAATGGAATGAAAGTAGAATTCATTATTTTATTTCTTCCAACGCGTGACAAATTCTCTTATACTCTGTTACTGAAATGTAGTCTATTTTAGAGTTTTCCAAGAATTTATTTTCGTTCATTGATTTCGAATTGAAATGATTTTAATTTTTTCTCTCTTAAGATTTCGGAAAAATAAAAATTATATTGGATATAAAAATACCCGAGAATGTCATTGATCACTCGCGATGCGTATACTGATGGGATTTGAAATACTTTGAATCGTGTCAAATCTATAGATGTTACTCTCATAAATATTCGTTTTTAGTTTATATATAAATAATAATATAATCGTATCAGTTTAAGAAACATGACTTTTTTCAAAACTTACAAGGTGATTTCAAACATTTGGACGATAGTGCGTGTTCATATTTATTTTTTTATTTATTTTAATATATATTTTTGCCTAGAAATGACATGCATTTATAAAATATTCTGCATACATAGTAATTTATTCTAATAGTACATTTTCATTTCCGCTTTTATTTTCTTAAATTTAACGTTTACATGCTATTTCGTATTGCACACAGAGTAGAGTGCTCAAATTACATTCACAATTCTTTTCCCTATTAATTTCACTATAAAGTATATCATAATATATTTTTCGTAAAATGTTTTATCTAAAATTTTTCTTTGTTCTAAAATGAAATTTTTTATTCAACTATCTATTTTTGGTAGTATTTGCTATTTGACGTTTTGCCAAATGTCATGTTTTATATGTTTTCTATTCGCACATTATGTGTGAAATAAATGAAACAAATTCGCGTGTTTTGACTTTATATTTATTTTCTGTTAAGAGAATAATTTTGACACAAATTGTTTTTTAGGTTTGCTAACCACTTTATTCCGTGGAACGGATTTGATTCCTTCAGATGTTATGGCAGGTCTTATCCTGCTAAGAGTTCAGCAAAAACGAGAAACGCATGAATTACGGCAGCGAAATTTCCTTCCGGTTCCAAAATATACCTCCAGTATGTATTATAATTTTATTTCAAAATTGCAATTTGCATAAACTAAATTTTTCAAAATTTAATGTATTTAATGTATACGTATGTATATGTTAAGTTTAGACTACATACATTCTAAAATTTTAAAATTTCTTTATAAATTGAACAAATTCCTTTTTTCGGCTTTTATATATTTCTAAATTCTTTCCAACAAAATATCATAATTCACTTGATTGCTAATTTTACATTGTATAATTTACATGTAGATATGAATAGTATTTAATAAACGAGTTTAATACAAACAGTTATTTGGTAATTAAAAATAGTTATAATGAACATTAATTTTTTTATATTAATCTTTTATTCCTTCAATTCCAGATATCGATTTGCGAATTAATATTTATTAGATCGCATACGGCTAGTTTTAAAAATTTTTGTGGCTCGTGATCTGTTTAATTTTTTTTTTTTTTCCTTTTTACAAAACTTTTTAAGATTCTATTTCTTATAATAAACTTAACTCAATTAAAAGTACGTGAAAACAGTATTCTAATTAACATCTATATTTTTCGCCATTTTTTTTTTTTTTTTTACTTAACAATTGATTATATAATAGATGAGGGAAGGAGAGAGATTCGTTGTTACAGCCTGCAACTAATACGTGATGTTGCGCACGGCACCGAAGATCGTGCATCATTTATTTAATGTGTTTGTTCGAATGATCATTAACTCAAAGTACTCAAACGTTTGCGTTTGCATTAAAATTATACCTACAATGTGATAGCAAAAAGCATGTCTCAAGGTTATTTCAATTAAATTAGAAAATAATTATAATTTAACAACAGGACCTGTAAACAAATATTGTCAATGGCCCATATAAGTATTCGGATAAAAAATAAAAATAAGAAATAAAGTTTCATTCGCCACTTTTGAATAAATATCCACTCGAATAAGCGTTTATCCGAATAAAAATTTAATCGAATAAGGATTTATGACGATAGACTGCAGTCGATATTACGTCACCCAGCGATGACGAATTACTGCTTTTCGGAATTATAGCCGAAGTTTAAAACAACTCCAAATGATTGTTCTAGATGCAGCTGTAATATTTGAAAATACACCAAGTTGGATGACTTTAAAAAACGCGTCTCATTATATGAAACTTTCAATAGCCTGTTATGGATGGTTACTTGCCATGTATTTACACATATACACCGGATGGTTTCGTGTTCTATCGAATATGACTTGTTGCGCTTGTTTTCGGTAAGTAATCAGAGCATGTTCATTGTCTTATATAAATGAAAATATTTTATAATTACATATTTCATAATGATATTTTATGTTATAAAATTTAAAAACTTTTTAAATAAAATTTTAAATCATACGTGTATAATATTATCAACATCTTCTTGCTGCTGCTATATTAATATATGTAAATATTTTTTCATAAATTTTTCAATTTTGCTTTCTATCAACTATATTTTGCTTTATCGTTTCTACTTTGCTTATTCTACGTATGCATATGTGTCGTATAATTAATATATGATAATTTTATTGCTTACGTACAAGTCGTACTTACGTCTTCATGCTTATTTTAAAAAATATATCGTGTACAGATATATACGAATATTTATAATAATAATAAGTGATGGAAGAATGAACCAATATTATTTTCTTGAAAAAATGAAAATAATATTATGCTTCATTCAAAGAAAAAAATATTAGGAATGAAAATAATATTATGTTTTATTCAAAGAAAAAAATGTTAGAAAGAACAATATATATTGAAATAATTATATAAAAAATCTTTGAGATAATTAGTTATTTATGTAAAATAAATAAGGTAACTAAAGAAAATAAGTAATAATAAATGAATCTCAAATTTTGGAAATATGAAAGTGAATAAAATTATCACAGTTGAAAAGACACTAAATAATGTATTAAACTAATATTTTACAATAAATAAAGTATTATAATGAAAACATTAGTTTACATTACACTTTAAGGACAAAAATACCAAATATATATTTCTATAATTTATGTCATGAAATTCTCAAATCTTAATTAATTTATTCTAATTACAGAAGAAAACGTACCCTAATTAATGGCGATAATTGTTGCTATTGCTATTTAGCTGGTATAAAATCATTATCAAATATATCTACAGATGACATTCTATATGCATCATTTAAAAACTATTTGTGCGAGGTTGGTGTGCAATAAATTGTTATTTACTTATATATGTTTATTCGTAAAAAAAAGCAGTTTCAAAGTTTTATAAAATACTTTTAGATACCATTCTGTGTAATAACGGATAAGGAAACAAATAATATTGTCATTATTGTACGAGGTTCTCTCTCGTTGCGCGATATCATAACTGATATTACTGCAGATTCTGAAGTTTTTATATGCGAAGGTGTTCCATTAAATGCTCAGGTAAATATTAAAGTCAAGTATGAAACTAACACTACGAATTTTCTTTTTATTGTACGCCAAGTTTAAATTACGTTTCTTTCTAAATCAATTGTTCATAAGTATAAAATGTTACATGTGTAGGCACACAGAAGTATGATAACTGCTGCTAGAATAATTCTGAAGCAATTAGATGACAACAAAGTTTTAGAACGAGCATTCAATACATATCCTCATTACAATTTAGTTCTCACAGGTAAGTAGAAATGTTACATGTGTATTAGAAAATTTTACGTTTAGAAAATTTTAAGCTTACATGTATCGATCTCAAATTTTTTTATTTATATACTTTCGTTCCTACTTTTCTCTTGAATAAAATGTTAAAGAAACAAAAACTTTTAATTTTTTAATTATATTCAATTTTAAGTAAAAAAGGAAATGAAGTAGAAAATAAAATAAAAAAAGAATAATGAAAAAAAAAGAAGAATTGTACACGAAATTATTAAATCACATACAAAAATATAGAATCTACATAGAATTGAATAATTATACTGTATTTTTGTCGTTTGTTTGTATTTAAATATTTATATTTTTTTGTTTGTTATTTTCTAAAACAACTGTTGTATGACCATTGAATAATCATAAAATAATTTTTTATTTCAATTATATTAGAAAAATATATCTTAAGAACGTGACTAAATTGCTACTAAAGTAATGGATTTTTTAAAAGTATATGGTAAATCTGAGATAGTTTGATAGTTTGACATTGATGACATTGGCCAATGTTTAATATTTTAAAATTGAAGTAAAGGCACTCTGAGTCTCATCGAAATAAAACAAATGAATCATTTCGTTCTAGATCTCGCATCGACAATTGTCACAAAAGCTAAGTTATAAATTATATTTGCAACTTTTAACAGATCTGAAATCAGATCTTTTTTGTTCATGTTAGAATGTTACTAATATTTGACAGCAAATAAGTCTGTTTATAGTACTTCAATATTAGCGGATATAATTTGTAGAAAATTGCAATATAATCTGAATAGTATGCATTTTAACTTTATGTTAATAGTAATATAATCTGAATAGTATGCATTTTGATTTTATGTTAATAGTAATATAATCTGACTAGTATGCATTTTAACTTTATATTAATAGGACGATCGATCACTGCTATGATTTTGGTATAATTCGACCATATTGATTCGGGATAGTTCGATCATATTAAATAAATATATACAATAATATTATCATAACATTAATATTAAATAGTTCGATAATATTAAATTAACAGAAAATGTCTGTGATTTATAAAAGAAATAGGAAAACTAAATAAAGTGTTAATTTCTTAAAAAATACGGAGAAAACTATTTCAAAAGCCTACGATTGATTTAAATATATAAGTTACAACTGGCTTCATGTTGGCTTTATATACAGAAATATTTTCGATTTATGTGGAAAATTGAAGAAGAAATCTACATATCAGTTAGTTTCCTCGTTCGTTATATTCTTCATCTTGTATGAAAATCTTGTTAATTACATTGTTATTTCTTACATTTTGTTATTTCTTCAAGTCTCATTCGTAGTAAGCGGACGATCTAGCCCGACATGATTAGTATCAATATTTTTTATTAGAAATGAATATAAATAATTGTAATTGTCGCAAAATGTGATTTATTATATCCTAAATCCTAGATTATATCTAGATTATATCCTAGATTATTTCTATAGATTATATCCTAAATAACACAGACATTATTTAAACTTGCTCAAAATAATAAAAATCTGAAGAAACAATCTGAAGAAGCAATAATTGTACAATATTGTTTCAAAAAGCGATCGAATTATCCCGGATTTACCCTATATCATAATAGATGTTACTAAAAAGAATTTTAAGATTTATCTATATTTTTTATGAAAATTTTCAAATAATTTCATGTAAGAATATATGTACAGGTCACAGTCTAGGTGCTGGCATAAGTATTCTTTTAGCATTTTTATTACGTCCACGATATCCATCTCTGAAAGTCTATGCATTCGCTACACCAGGTACAAATCCTTGAAAAATTATATGTTTTACTTATATTTTGTGATTTATTGCTGAATTTCTAATTAAAAAAATATTTTTTTGTTTAGCGGGTCTCCTCTCAAGAGAACTTGCCAGAATAACGGAAGAATTCGTTTTTACAGTAGGGGTTGGAGATGACTTCGTGATGAGATTGAGTGTTGAAAGCACTGAAAACTTACGAACATCTTTACTTAGGGTACTTCATGCTTGCCGATTACCTAAGGTAAAATTATTTTACAGTATTTGAAACATCCATTTATCAACAGTTATAATTTAATTATTGTAATTAATTATTTTAATCAAACAAATTTATAATTTGAAATTATATAATTCTGCAAAATTTAAACTAATAGCTACAAAAATTTTTAAAGTCTTTGTTTAATTTTCTTTTATTTGTACTAAATTATTAAGTTTCTATTACATTCTAATGTAATTTTTGGGAATCCGTGGTGAGAGTAATCGATAGTGGATCGTTTTATGCACTATCATAGCTACATCTTGACTAGTATTGTGTACTACCATGGCAACTTTTTTTTTTCATATTTCTTTATTACTTAACTTGAGTTGGATCTTGCAGTTGTGCAGAGTGACTAGTTCTGACTAGTAGATGACTAGTTCTTTCATAAATTCTCTGTGCCTGTTCCTTTCTTTTACGAGGTTTTGTAATAATGTGATACAGTGGGTTTGGGATGTTGTGTGCATTGCTTTATATAGGCTGTTTAAATTTGATGATGAAGGGCTCTGATTTCTGTTGTGTTCTTTAGGTACTGATTTATTTTTTGTTCTTTAGGTACTGATTTATTTTTAGTTCATTATAGTGTTTGACGTACGCATTTCAGTCGATCTATTTTATTGTGTTCTGTTGAGTTGTTTGGAGCGAGAGTGTTACCACTGAGTAGTTGGAGGATAAGTCATATATGGTATGGCATATGTGGTAAGAAGGGATGTTTGACAGAAAGATGTCGATATTCGAGGCAGTTAATTCGATTGCCAGGTGTTGCGTGCTGAGCTGACCTCGACGTATAAGGACATGAAATATGGTCACGGGAGATCCCTGTCGTCGAGAAATTAAGTCAGAAAATTGCTTTCCTTCGCGGTACGAATTTCATCCACATTGTGTTTGGTAAGGCCGAATACCAGGTGTAGGTTGAACTATGGATGATAGTTGTGGAATTCCGAATGGTTCTTGATAGTGGAGCCGTTTAGGTTTTTTCTGAGATTATTCCAGATGCGGTTAACTTTGCATTAAAGTTACTGCCTGTGATGAAGTGACTCGAACCGTAGGGTGAAATGAATGAAATGATAGAATCTAGATCTCGATATGGAAGATCTTGATTTTTTGGGTGCATAAGCCGCTTCTATTGTGTAATAAAATCAGTTATTTAAATTTTCTTAAGTCTTTTGTAAATAAACAATTAAATATTATATATTAAATACACGTTACGTCTTCACAATAAATGCATAATACTAAATATTATTTTTCTAGTATAGAGTAGTGTTAAACGGACTGGGTTATATGTTATTCGGCATTCCTGAAAAAGACCTTGAAAAAACATGGAACATCGATATAATTAACACCGTATCGGGAGCAACACCTTTACTCAATAATCGAAACTTAAATTCAATAGAGGTACATACGTATGTGTTGATAAGTTATTTTAAAATTTAATTATATTTCATTCGTTTCATTTCATTTATTTTTTGTTATTTAATTTATTTTATATAATATTATACTGAAAAAAGATTTATATTATAGGAGAATAGAATATATGAGAGAGATGTTACGAAGAGGAGATATTCTAAAGTAAGATTATATATAGGTGGTAGAATTCTTCACATAGTTAGATGCAAGCCTGAAAGCTCAGAAAATGAAAGGTCTGGTATCTATTTCATATTTTGTCAATTATTTATTTTCGAGTTTATAAAAATTCATATAATATTAGTTATTTATTCATTAATCTCGTGCAAAATCAAAAAATATTTCGGAAGTGCGGAATGATAAACCGCATTATATTTTTTCTTACAGCAAAAAACAAAACAAGGAGGAACAGAAATTTGAGATGCGATGGGCACAGCCAGAAGAATTTTCAGAATTACTTGTGATGCCGCGAATGTTACTGGATCATCTACCAGAAAATATAGATAAAACCATAACTACGTTGTTAGAACAACAAAAATAGTTACCACAATATGTGCTTTGATTCTTGACATTTAACAGATTTAAATAACGTACAGAAAATTGTACTCTATTGTATTATAAAGAAGTCTACTTTAAGTATACTCTAACTCTAAATATTTTATAAACTAAATTAAACAGACGTTGTATATATACATCTTAAAAATATAGTATGATGTAAGATATTCGGATATCTAACAACTTCCATTTCAAAAATATCTGGAAGATATTGCGACATTATGAACTTAGGTTGCAAATATTTTATTTTTAAAATAATTAGTAGAGATGGTGCTAGTCCACAAGATTTTTAACGTACTCTCTTTTACTTACTTTAAGTTTCAACATTTTTTATTGTTAAAGACGTCAAGCACAAGAAGTTTAAAGAGATCAAAAAGTAGGAACCATTGGTTGAAAATATCTTAGAGATATTTATGTAGTATTCGTAATATAATTATTATAACTATAATATTATAACATCGTAGATAAAATAGATTAATTATACAGTAGTAGTATGTTTATTCATTTAGCAAAATAATAAATAGCTGGGAAAGTTTTACACTGACAATTACTTTTTATCCCTCTTAATCAACAGTTAATCTTTGCTCTAATTATTTCAATCATATGACAAAAAAGGTTAATAAAGTAAAGGCAAGATAAAAATTGCGACAGATTATCAATTATTTTCATTTTGTTATTATTATTTAATACGATGTTATTATAGAGTATTGCAATGCTTGTGATCATTTTATGATGATGAATTATTTTTCATTGCTGTACATATTGCAAACAATAGTATATGTATCATATTTCTTCTGTTAGTGATAATAAAAATATATAATACAGAATTACTATGTTTAACTACTTGGATTATATTAATGTAAATATAAACAAGTTCAAATATGTGTCAATCTTTTTATGTATTATAAAAATATTTTTAAAATCTTAATTTTTACAATACGTTTTTGTTACTGTGTAATGATATTTATTATAAAAAAAAATATATTTATTTTTTATATATATTTATTTTTTTGTAATACGTGCGACACGAACTTCCATAAGATATCATGTCTATTCTTTATGACTTCGCGCAAAACGCGTTATTATTATATTTTAATTTATTATTATATTTTTCAATTTTAATGCATTCTGTCAAAAGATAGTTTGATAAATAACTTTAGAAAAAGAACACTCAAGCATCGATTTTAAATACATTCGAAATATAAACTATTATATCTTCAATTTCAGTGCAGTTAAGATTTTCTTATAATATACATATAGATGAATTATTTTTATGCTACTCAGTATTAATGACTTGATTTAAGCGAAAGTTGTAGATACATCTGTTTGATTTAACACATCAGTTTGAACGTTTGGTTCATATTTGAAACTGTTAAATTTATTTTTAGTCTTATTCATGATAATTTAAATAATTACAATTAAATGATCAATAAAATAAAAATATATGCGACTTACAATTAAATACGAAGAGCAATTTATGGAATCGTGGTCAGAAATCATTGCAAATATCACTAAATAAAAACCATTAAATCCGATGGGAAATGTCTGTATCACTGTCATAATTGAATATTTATGTGTATTTAACTCTTTTAAATAATGTTTGCTATTTTAAATTGTAGATGTGTTCAATAAAATGGAAATGAATTCAAAAACAAGTCTTATCTGTATAATTTTTACTTGACGATTTCTGGACAAGTAGCTTGTTACGTTTGTTATCTCGTTCCCACCTAAAACTGACGGTTCACATCACGAGTTTACGTCCTAATATTAGATCGATTAGATCGATTAAACACTATCGACAAACGTCGATTATGTTTAAGAATCGCAATATGTACATAATTGCAAAATTTCATCACTTCATTGACATTGTAATCTCTACTAAAGTTAAAATAATTGCGTACGCGTTTCGTACAAAAATATGTCGCATAAATTAAGTAAAAATTCAGAATAAATTAATAAAATAAATTAAGAATTAGAAAAAATAAAAATTTCCTTTTTTTGACTTTTTTTAATTTTTACAAAAATAGTACGTCTTTAAATTCTGTTTGTCTATAAAACGTAAAAAATTATATCTATAATTTTCTTTTCAAGTCTTGGTTTAATTTTAAGTTGAAATTTAAGAAACTTAATTTTTTCCAGAATAAATCTAGTCTATTCTATCGATTCTATTTTTATTCAATGTTATCAGCATTGACTGAAGTTAGTCAACGATATAACTTTCTAACTTTAGTCAATGATATGTTAGTATAAGCAATTTGATTAGTTTAGTCAATTAACAAATTGTTTGAGAATACCAAATTATAAAGTAATACTAAGAATAAATTATAAACTATAAAGTATACTAAGTATAAATTTTCTTTTGAATTTAAATATTGTTAAATTTTTTTAAATTTCGGGTAAAACAATAATAAAACACTGCAAGAAAAAAAGTTTTCTTTCTATTTAAAATTTATATAATGATTTATTGCATTGAAATGTACTTAAATGTATGATATTAATTATTTATTATTATATTAATTATTTATTATTATTCTATATTAAGAACTACACATTTTTTAACAAAATTTGAAACATATTAAAATATTTACAAAAATCGTAAAAAAAAATTGAATTTCCTAAAATTTCGTAAAAGTTTAAGGAATCCTTTCAACTTTATTAATTAATAAAAAGATATGAAATTAATTATTAATTTTAAAAAATATAAAATTCCTTCTATTTTTCTGTTTAAGATACACATGTTATGAAATTTTCATTTATTACAAATTATAAAATATAAAAAATTTAAACAAAATTAAAATTAAAAACAATTAAAATTATCTGGATTGCCTTCGGTAATATTAAATATTTAGCAAGAAATTCTAATTGTTTTTTAAAAATTTTCCCATTTTTTCTAAAAAAAAGAGAACTAAAAATTTTGTTTAATATTAAAATATTTTTATGCTTTAGAAATATAGAAAAAAAGATTAAAGAAAGTTCAAGAATTTTGTCATATATTTCTAAATGTTTAATAAAACTGTAAAATTTTACAAAATAAAATTTAAGATTTCTAGTTTTATTCTTTAAAAACTTTTGAAATTGAAATGTTTCAATGATCTTCGATTCATCGAGACATTCATCGATAAAATAAGTCGATAATGTAGATACTAGATGTACTTGTCAGAAGCTATTATCCGGTCACAGGAAACACATGTAGTAAGAAAGTACGTGTGAAAGCATTTAGTGATATCTGTATAGAAATACAAGTTTAAAATGTAAACAAATGTATGACTTAAAATTATTGAAAGTATTGCCTTATTAGAAGATTATAAATTTAGTTATAAAAGTAAGTACTATCTGAAATTTTCATTGCTATATAGTATAACCTCCATACTTTTTTGCACACGTGCTTGACAGTTATAATAAAGTTAAGTATTAGTTTATTAATTTATTTTAACAGTTTCAATAGTGTGTTTTATAATTTAAAAATTTTTAATGATTTAAACGAATTGTTTTTAATGATGAATATATAATATCATTTTAACAGATGTCAGTTGTGTCTTCAAGAGTTAGTAGTGTTTCATCACTTCTAAAAGATCCTGGAATTAGATCACAACTTATTAGACAGTCTAATAGAGTATATTTGAAACTTCCAAAAAATCTTAAAAGTATTCTCTTTAATTTTGAAGCTGGTAATGGAACAAAAGATTATGAAGATTTAATATATATTTTACGAAATTCAGATATAAAGGTATTTAATAATTATTGATAACTTCTATTATTTCTATTATCATAGTTTTACCTTAATCCAATATAACTCAATTTTACTGAATTACTTTTATTATTTTTCAATTTAGGATTCAGATTTCATAGAGTTTTTATCAAACGTAAGACAATGTATATCATTACTTGGTCCTGTTCATAAAGTACTTGTAGAAACACTTCTACAAATAAAATGGACAAATCGCTCTTTAGATGTAACATCTACTTATAAAATATTTATTGAAGATTTAATTTGTATGCAAATTCATTATGCTAAAAATACTATAGACAATTTAGTTGAACAGTTTAAACCAGGTATACTTTGAGAAATTATTGTATATAAATGAGTAATAGCAAATTGAATTATAATTAATATTTTTATTTTCAATAGATGACGATGATGGTACTGAGTGGAAAATTGGAGTAAGCAAAGAAGACATTCAGAGGTTAAATCATATACATAATATTCTCCAAAGAGTTATAAAAGTTGTGCCAATGTAAGAATATCAGATTTTTTATATATTTATATTTACATTTATAAAATATGTTTTCCAAAGATTATGTGTGTAACATCAGTAAAACTAAAGAATATAATTAATTGTATAAAAATATATTTTAGGTCAAGCAAACTTTTACTACAATCTCTTGGAGCAAGGTTTCCGTATTTCATTCAGGGAATTCATACACATGAAGTTTATGTTCATGCATTAATTCAAATATTAGAATATGCACCACATTTGCGCTCTGATATTCTATCTCTAATTATTAATAGGTAATATAACGCTATAATTTAATTTTATCATTTTAGGATAAAAAATAAATTCTTTGTTGTAAGCTATTTTTATTTGTAATAGGTTAATGGTATTAGATGTAAATATACCACGGTTAGAGATAGATAATGAAGAAGAAGACTTAATGGATGATAATAGTGAATGTAACAGTACTCTTGGTAATGAGAATAATGTTGAAGAAAATAACATAACAGAAACAGATAAAATACATCCAATAGCTCATAAATTGGATGTGTGTATGGAACTAGTTCTAAAATACATGCACGACTTTTGTTTTACTAAAAAAGTTTTGCAAGTAGAATGTTTAAAAAGTCTTTATTTTGATCTATTGAAAATATTCGAAACAATAATATTACCCACTCATGCAAGTCAATATGTGCAGTATATTATATTCTATATTTGTAGTTTTAAAACTGCTGTTGTGGAGGCTTTTATAGATTGGTTATGGCGAAAGGCATCCGATCCTAATGTACCTTCTATTATACGACAGTCATCTATAGCATATATTGCTAGTTTACTGGTTACAGCAAAATTTGTTACAACTGGGTATGCTTTTGATAATATATTAAATTTATAATTAAAAAAGTTTTTATGTATTTTTATATATTTTTATTTTTATTAGGTTAGTAAAAGCTGTCCAATTAAAAATATCTCAATGGATACATGATTATATTAATATGCAAGATCATTCAAGTTATATAATGAATGAAAATAAAGAACATAGTGTATTTTATTCTGTCTGTCAAGCATTATTCCTTATAATTACTAAAAGACATAATGATTATTCTGATACAAAAAAGTGTAAGTATATCTTTTTAATTAAATAATATACATTGTTTTTAAAAAATTTTTTTTAGTGCTAAATATAATTATTATTTTCAGATATGTTACATTTACAAGAGTTGGATTTAGCAAAAATTGTAACTTGTAAATTAAATCCATTGAAAGCTTGTAATCCTGAAATTATGCATAGTTTTGCAGATATTACCCGAATGTATCAATTGGCATATTGTTATACTATAATTGAAAATAATACACGGAATCAACTTCCTCTTTTCGATAGTAAAAAAGGAACAACACCTATAATTGAAAACTTTTTTCCATTTAATTTTTATATGTTACAACGAAGTGGACAAAGGATAACTCCCATATTGCGTGATAATATTAGCAGTAGCGAACATAGAACAACTATTAAATATAGGGAAGACATTGAACATATGTCTGAATATTAAATTCAATTCTTCAAATTTAACATGCAATTTGTAATCATTTTGAATAAATGAAAAATATTTACAAAAGTAATTGTTATTCTAAATTAGACAAATGTGACTAAAATCTGATAACTTATATGAAATGTAGAATTTTTATTTAATAAAAACGTATAATTTAAATAAATTTATTATTATGCTTTTAAGTTATAAATATGTAAAACTTCATAATTATAAAAATTTTCTAATTGTATTTATATATAGTACATATAATAGTAATGAGTTCGAAACTAATTTTTAAATTCTCGAATTTGAAACTTTGTATACTTAAAGTGCTGATTTTATTTTGTAAGAATTATTTGAGAAAATTTCGTTAAAAACTTCAGAATTACAGTATTAGCTACATTCGTTGCTAAGTTTATTCACATGTGTGAATTAAGTAAAATTTTAATAATACAATTGTATTATTAAATAATAAACACAAATTAAATATACATTTTGTAAAAACTCTAATCGGCTTGACATTAAATTTCGCGCCATTAATATCTTAGAAAACCGGAGCCGGAAATTCTACTTCAGTGACGCAGTGGCGTAATCTTTGCGGTCTATCGGTTGCTTTGCGATTCTTTCACGTAAACGGTAACGTAAAATGGCGAATTGGGATTGTTATTTACTTGCGCGAAGCATAACGAAATAACTAGAATACGATCCAAAAAATATTTGTTACTGCTGAATTCGAGATTGTGTATTTATTTCTTCTTATACAAACGACTGTAAGTATCACGCTTGTCAATTTAATAAAAAATTTATAACGTGTGCACTAGACGTCGGTTCATATTCAAGTCGGTAATTCCGCATCTTTTTCAAATGAAATTGACAATAAAACTCATTTATAGGATAGCAAAATATAAATGTTATTATTATTATTATTTCATCATAATTTTTACTTAGAATAGTTGAAGTTTTGAAATAAGGTTATGATAAAATTCTCAAACAGCTTATTATCATTTACCTCGCATATTTCAATATTGAATTACAAATATATTTTATAATACATGATAATAAGTGTATTGCTAATGTACGTATTTATTTTTATTTTATAGTTTTAATTTTTTAACAAACATGAAATTCAAATCGATTCGTTTCTTCGTTTTCTAGGTTATGATTCTCTGAAATCAAATATTTCTCGTATTTAAGATGTTATTTCAAATCTTCATTTTGTATTTACAAATGACAGGAGAATAATAATATTTAACAGGAATAATTAAAATAATTTCATATAATTCGATAATAAAGATAAATTTATATTTACATATTACATTACAATATATTACTTTATTTACCAATTTTGAAAACAATTTTATTTGCCAATTGTAAAATCTCAATAATTTATTAGAAATATTCTTATCTGAATTTTAACATATTTGTATTTAAATTTACTGATAATTTCTTAACAGATATGATTGAATTATATATCTAAATCATATTTTTATTGTATTAAATAATTAGAATTTGATTGATTGTTTACAAAGTGATAACTATAAAATGTCTTGAAAAACATATTCTTATTACAATGTTGTTATTACTAACAAATATTTTTCTTATGGCTTTTGTGTATTATTTTTTTTTTATGAGTATTATATGATCTTATATATGTATATTTAAATATAAACTGTTAAATTAGTATGAATTATATGAATTCTTTGAGAATATTGATCAAAAACAAATTTAACAATTAGATGAAGTAATTCTGCGAAAAAATTTTATTTTTATTATCAATAGAATGTTTCAATTATTTATATTATTGAATATACAATGTATTACATTTAACAGGAGATATATATATATAAATATTAAGAAAGAGCAATTATATAAATAACACTATAAAATTTTTAATTGTAATTTAAACTATTAAATATTATTAATTTTTTATTATGCTTTACTATACATTACTATATTTAAGGTCTATAATTCATTACATTTTAATAATATCTTCTTTCATTGATAAACTAATCATATTTTTATTAACACATTAATCATATTCTTAATAATGTATTAATGTATACATTTAATGTGTATATTTTTATTAAACTATTTTCATTTATATGAGAATACGTATTACATGTATTATAATGGGACGTATCTCTTAATATGAAATAAAATAAATCAAAGTTTATTATCAAACATTGCATTATATAATACAGTAAAATATGTAATTTATTATTTATATAAATTTGCCCATATTCTATTTAAATAATTAAAAATTCTACAAATTCTCTTGTTTAAAATTTTGCATGCTACAATAATTTAACAGAATGCTTTTGTCTATAAGATTTATAAGAATATATACTTTACAAAAAACTATAGTTTTTTATTAAAAAGTTTTAATCAAATTTTATAAATCTTTGAAGCACATGTTGTACAACAATTTTTAAATATTTTAATTGTGTATAAAATCCAAATTATGGAAATTTATGTTTAGATTTAATTTTCAATTATGTGATTTAAAATGGTTTTAAGATTACTTGTTTTTACTTGTTATTGCAATATTTAGAAACATTATACATAGGAGACTACTTAAGAAGTTCAATTCTTTACTTTATGTCTAATATAAATAATATGACAAATAAAATATTTTTAATATGCTTCTTATATTTCTTAATATTTTTTAATATTTTGCAATTTAGTAAGATCTTGTTTTAGTTCGTAATGTAGCTATTTCAAGCATTTATTATAATATACATGAAATGAAATTAAAAAATAAATATTTTATGGAATAAATATAAAGTACTAATTAATTTTAGAAAAAAATTCATTCAATTTGAAAATAAATTACGTTTTTTAAATTATACTCATTTTGTTATTTATAACTAATATATATAATTTTTTAACTGGTTAGTTTTTAACATAGATAAAACATGTAGTATTTTTATGTAATGTAATTATTCTCTAATTTTAATTGTAAATGAAAATTTAAATAAAACAGTAATATAAATTTAAATATTTAAAACAAAACATAGAAATATGCATCCAATATACATACATATATATATATATATATTGGATATATATTAAACAGTATTAATTTAATCTGTTTTAATAATAATTTCATTTAGATTTTAAAGTTTTTTTCATATATTTTTATCATCTTTTTTTAATAAAACACAAGTAATCTTAAATTACTTTTAAGGTTTATTGTGCAGATACTAATTCATCGTTCTACAGATATAATACTAATGGATGGGTGTAATTTTATATAATAGACATTGATTTACATTGATTTTGATCTACATTGATTGACAAAAGATCATATTTGCAAGTATTTAAGTCTGAAATACTATGGCACAATATTATAATTTTGTGACCAATGCCAGTGGTACATTAACACTTGAAGACGTACAGAGAATTTGCTCTGTAGAAGGACAAAGTGTACAATTAGTTGTTGAAAACATAAATAATGGTGGTAATGGTTCTCAGCAATTTTTGACTTATACCACTGCATCACAAAACAGCGGGCAAGCGATATTTTCACAGCAAATTAATTTAGGGAGTCAAATTTCTGCAGCACAATTGGATCGAGGGTAATTTGTGCGCATGCATTTTAATTATCCAAATATTAAAGTAGCAGTGTGACATTTTCCTGTTTTTGGTTTTGTGTGTATATATGTATATACACACACAAGAATTATTAGATACTCGAGGAAAATAGGGGGTATTGGTATATAGTGCTGATTATGAAAATTAAGTAGCAGCATGTTATTAAACTGTAAAAAATATTTATCTATTTTTGCATTGTAAAAATATGTTTATAGTATGTAATATGATTCCAATTTAATATTTTAAATGAATTATTTTAATTATATACAGTTTTGTAAATGATTTATATAATTTCATGCATATAATGTATTTAGAATAAACTTAAATTTTATCAGCATTTAAATTTGTAATTATAATAGACAATAATGTCTTCCTTGATATATTAGATAAAAATACAGTCCATTAATAAAAACTTCTTAAGATTGTCTTCTAATTATATACATAGAAATATAGAATCTTAATACTCTTATAAATGTGCTTCTGTTAGTAAAATTATTAAGGATAATAATGCATTATTTACTTGTTACGCTGAAAAATAAATTTAGAATATATTACTTCAGTATATTGTACACGTGTGCCTCAAAGAAGTTTCATAATTAATTTTTAAACTGATCTAATGATGAAATATTGTATTTGGGCGATCAAATTTATGTGAGCATGTGAAATCTGGGCATATCGTGTCAGTTCCATTGTTCATTTTATAAAATAAATCACAACAAGGAAGTGTAAGTGTAATTATTTCATTCATTCATTGAATATCAAATACATTAATAATTTACTAAAATTGTGCAACGTCATATAGTTATAATCGTTTAATATAATGGGAATGTATAACTATGAAAGAATGAGTCATTTTTAAATATAAGGTATAATATACACTAATAAATCAAATATTTGAAAATAATAACAGTAATTCAATATGTTTTTAAACTTTATTTTTTAACTATTTTTCTATATATTAATGTACATAAATAATTGTATGTATACATTTTTTGCATCTTTAATTTATTTTACTTCAATTTTTCTATTGACTTATAAGCATTTATTAATTTTATAGGTTCTATAAGCGATTAACGATTCGTTAATGAACGATTAATTCACTATTTATACCATAACTATAATTATATTATCAAATTCGTTTTAAAAAATTTGTATGCAACTACTTATAATATAAATATATTAAAAAGTATCTTTGATTTATATAATCTCTTTAAAAGTATTATTACAATTTCATGATGCAAATTTTATTAAAATAAAAATTTCTTTACTTATAATATAAGTATTCTTTACTTATAATATAATATTTGTAATTTCAATAAGTATGAAATAAAAAAAATCGATTAATTTTATAGAATGCATAAAAATATACCAATGCACTCTTTTTTCCTCGTGCTTTTCATTTGTAAATATATATTTTATAAATTGATTTCATTGTTATATATAATTAACATGTTATAATTTTGATAATTAAGAAAAAAGTTTTATAAGAATTTA